TCTGAAGGACGCAAACAGTGTGAGCAAAACAGAGATTGAATTATTTATACTTTTAATAGCCATATCAACCTCCCCCACCCTACACTCAACGATTCATACTGCAAGTGTGTGATACCCTTAGTAAATACATACAGTGAGGGAAAAAAGTATTTGATCCCCTGCTGATTTTGTACGTTTGCCCACTGACAAATAAATGATCAGTCTATAATTTTAATGGTAGGTTTATTGGAACAGTGAGAGACAGAATAACAACAAAAAAATCCAGAAAAACGCATGTCAAAAATGTTATAAATTGATTTGCATTTTAATGAGGGAAATAAGTATTTGACCCCCTCTCAATCAGAAAGATTTCTGTCTCCCAGGTGTCTTTTATACAGGTAACGAGCTGAGATTAGGAGCACACTCTTAAAGGGAGTGCTCCTAATCTCATCTTGTTACCTGTATAAAAGACACCTGTCCACAGAAGCAATCAATCAATCAGATTCCAAACTCTCCACCATGGCCAAGACCAAAGAGCTCTCCAAGGATGTCAGGGACAAGATTGTAGACCTACACAAGGCTGGAATGGGCTACAAGTCCATCGCCAAGCAGCTTGGTGAGAAGGTGACAACAGTTGGTGCGATTATTCGCAAATGGAAGAAACACAAAAGAACTGTCAATCTCCCTCGGCCTAGGGCTCCATGCAAGATCACCTCGTGGAGTTGCAATGATCATGAGAACGGTGAAGAATCAGCCCAGAACTACACGGGAGGATCTTGTCAATGATCTCAAGGCAGCTGGGACCATAGTCACCAAGAAAACAATTGGTAACACACTACGCCGTGAAGGACTGAAATCCTGTAGCGCACGCAAGGTCCCCCTGCTCAAGAAAGCACATATACAGGGCCGTCTGAAGTTTGCCAATGAACATCTGAATGATTCAGAGGAGAGCTGGGTGAAAGTGTTGTGGTCAGATGAGACTAAAATGGAGCTCTTTGGCATCAACTCAACTCGCCGTGTTTGGAGGAGGAGGAATGCTGCCTATGACCCCAAGAACACCATCCCCACCGTCAAACATGGAGGTGGAAACATTATGCTTTGGGGGTGTGTTTTTCTGCTAAGGGACAGGACAACTTCACCGCATCAAAGGGACGATGGACGGGGCCATGTACCGTCAAATCTTGGGTGAGAACCTCCTTCCCTCAGCCAGGGCATTGAAAATGGGTCGTGGATGGGTATTCCAGCATGACAATGACCCAAAACACACAGCCAAGGCAACAAAGGAGTGGCTCAAGAAAAAGCACATTAAGGTCCTGGAGTGGCCTAGCCAGTCTCCAGACCTTAATCCCATAGAAAATCTGTAGAGGGAGCTGAAGGTTCGAGTTGCCAAACGTCAGCCTCGAAACCTTAATGACTTGGAGAAGATCTGCAAAGAGGAGTGGGACAAAATCCCTCCTGAGATGTGTGCAAACCTGGTGGCCAACTACAAGAAACGTCTGACCTCTGTGATTGCCAACAAGGGTTTTGCCACCAAGTACTAAGTCATGTTTTGCAGTGGTCAAATACTTATTTCCCTCATTAAAATGCAAATCAATTTATAACATTTTTGACATGCATTTTTCTGGATTTTGTTGTTGTTATTCTGTCTCTCACTGTTCAAATAAACCTACCATTAAAATTATAGACTGATCATTTCTTTGTCAGTGGGCAAACGTACAAAATCAGCAGGGGATCAAATACTTTTTTCCCTCACTGTACATATGATTTACATTCATTACTGTTTTCCAATATCCATAAAGGTTTGGCATTTACAGTCCTTTACTGAGCCAGTCATTTACTATCTCTCCTAGTCGAACAAGACAACATTCTCATTCCTCAGCCAGACAATTCCAAGTGTGGCATTTGTTAGGATTGGTGCTGTTGTCAGAAAAAGACATTGGTCTTAGACTGCAGTGTACTATAACTTCTTGACCAGATAAAAAACAGAGCAAATGCCAGTTGTCCTTGTGATAGGTAGTACTATTAATGCAGACATACACTGAGTGTACAAAACATTAAGAACAGCTTCCTAATATTGAGTTGCAGTTCTTGACACAAACCGGTGGGCCTGGCACCTACTACGAAACCCCATTCAAAAAGGCACTTAAATATTTTGTCTTGCCAATTCACACTGAATGGCATACATACACAATCCATGTCTCAAGGCTTTAAAAAATCCTTCTTTAACCTGTCTCCTCCCCTTCATCTACACTGATTGAAGTGGATTTAACATGTGACATCAATAAGGGATCATAGCTTTCACCTGGATTTACCTGGTCAGTCTATATCATGGAAAGAGAAGGTGTCCTTAATGTTAGGTACACTTGGATAAAGTAATCCTTCTACCCCCCCCTTACCCCACCCCCAAAAAATAAAATAAATAAAACTATTGTAAAGTGGTTGTCCCACTGGCTATCATAAGGTGAATGCACCAATTTGTAAGTCGCTCTGGATAAGAGCGTCTGCTAAATGACGAAAATGTAAATGTAATGTAAAAATGTGTAGATACTGTGTGGTATACAGTCCTGATCCAACACTGCTCCCTGCTGGCAGGTCAAAACACTGCAGCAGCTGTGTAGGATAATGTCTCTGAGGTACGGTATAACGAATGCCAAAATAATTATAATGGAAACACTTGAGTAAATGAGAGATACAAAGGGGTTTTCTCGTTTGGGCAAAAGACCATCGATAAGTAGTTGAGGAGTGTGTCAATTAGTTAGTAGCAGAGAGGAAAATCTTTGTTAGTAGGCAAACGTACGTAAGAATGTCCTCCCCTCCTCGATAGCAACCTTTCATCAAGGATACTCGTGTATGCTATCGCGGAAGAGTTTTGAAATCTGCCACACCCCCTTTGAATTAGCTTTTGTTTTATCCGAGGAGAAAAACATGGACACGTTTAAAAACCAGATGCTACTTATTGTTTTATCTATAAAATGTTTGCACAACTAACTTAATTTACACATTTATTTTTTTGGGATCCACCCCTGTAAACGTCATTTGCCTAATGACGCGAGAGTGGAGAAGGATTGTCTAATTTCAAGCAAGCGCATTCCATCCACGTTCACTCTCCTCGATTATCTTTGACCTTTTTCAGAAGGAGCCGAGAGCGGATGGAGAGGACGAGGTGAGCAAATATAATTGATAAAAGGCCAATGTATAATGAAATCCGATGCTTCCACACCTGAGTTTATTAAGCAGTTAACATCCCATCAGGATTAGGGTCATGTTTTAAAAAATGCTGGGCAGGCCATTATTTTGGCTACCATGTCTATGCCTTATCCACAGGGCACAAGTGGTCACTGAATGGTTTGATGAGCTGTAAACCATATGCCATGGCCGTCTGTCACCGGGGCCCAGTTTTTCAAAAATTATCTGGATTTCTTCTATCGGATAGGATTAAATGCATAGACATAGAATGAATAGAACGTACAAATCATTGCTTAAATGGGGACTCTCGTTCTATTAATTATATTTCTATGCATTTAATCCTATCAAATAGCCGAAATCTGGATAGATAACATTTTTCACCAACATCAACAAAATGATGGAATTTCTTGTGGAAGAATGGTGTCGCATCCCTCCGATAGAGTTCCAGACACTTATAGAACCTACGCCAAGGTGCATTGCAGCCCAACGCCCTATTAAGACACTATGTTGGTGTTTCCTTTATTTTGGCAGTTATCTGTATATCACATGCACGTTCACACACACGTACAGGAACGAGTTTTCTGCGTGCCACAACTGTTAGCCGCTGAGCTAAAGTCTAGGCCTTAGCTTGGGGAACTAAATCAAGTCTTTAGTCTCTGACAAGGCTACTCATCATGCTAGCATGGTGTACCCAACCAACTGTGTTCCATTTAACTGAACACTACTGTGACTAAAATAAAGAGCACAACATTATCAATCACCTTCATGACTCTTTGGATTTTGCAACAATAAATACATCTATTCTGTCAACAAGGCAAACATCACAATTTCTAAACATCTTAAAATTCAACAATAGTCAAAAAAAAGGCCCTTGATCAATCAAGCCATATTGTATAGGTATAAAACACTACAATCCTTCTTTCCCTCATCTCATTCATGATTGTCATATATTACTGAGGTTACTTAAAATGGAGGAATGTATATTTAGTGTAATTATAAATGACAATCCAGATGTGCCACTCTCACCAAGGCTAAATAAAAAAGCATATGCTGCATTTGACACTGCATGTTAACAGATGGCACAGACATATAGAGAAAGTTGAACACAGGAAGTATCTGAAACGTACTGAAAAGAGATCATGTCAAGGCCTTTGATGATCAGGAAGTCAACTCATTACGACACCTCTGTCACTAGACTGGCTCACCTTGGTTAGTAAGACCATTGCCCACTCAGAGCAATACGGCTAAGAAGAAAGTGCAACATGAAGCACTTTGTAACAAGCTAAATCAAAAAGCTAGTGAACGCCTTGTGGCCTTTGACTAGAAATTATTGATGAAAACCAACACGGACAGAGACCGAGTGACATTCTGGGAGTGATACACTACAGGCCTGTAGACTAGATAGGCTGAGTGACATTCTGGGAGTGATACACTACAGGCCTGTAGACTAGATAGGCTGAGTGACATTCTGGGAGTGATACACTACAGGCCTGTAGACTAGATAGGCTGAGTGACATTCTGGGAGTGATACACTACAGGCCTGGGGACTAGATAGGCTGAGTGACATTCTGGGAGTGATACACTACAGGCCTGTAGACTAGATAGGCTGAGTGGCATTCTGGGAGTGATACACTACAGGCCTGTAGACTAGATAGGCTGAGTGATACACTACAGGCCTGGGGACTAGATAGGCTGAGTGACATTCTGGGAGTGATACACTACAGGCCTGGGGACTAGATAGGCTGAGTGACATTCTGGGAGTGATACACTACAGGCCTGTAGACTAGATAGGCTGAGTGATACACTACAGGCCTGTAGACTAGATAGGCTGAGTGATACACTACAGGCCTGGGGACTAGTTTAGTTCAGCTCTTGCTTCAACTTGCTCTTCTTGACTTTGGGCTTGGCTGCCAGAGGGGGCAGGGTGGTGGAGGGGTCTGACTCCTCTGGCTGGGGGGCTCGGGAGGGGTCGTCAGGCGAGGTGGGGGTGGTCTCCACATCAGGCTCCTCCTCCAAGGGCAGGGAGGGGGGCTTGGGCTGGCTGTGGGGGGACACTCCTGAGAGACAGGTGTTAGAAACTGAATTTTACTAAGTATACGCAGTGTTCTGTAATGAGTTAATTTTCTATTGGTGTTACACTTCGCAAGGAGCTCTCTGAGAGACGTGAGTCAAGTTAACAGTCTACTGACAAGATCATATTATTATGTTAACTTGACACGTCTCTCTGTCTCATCCATATAACCGAGCTAATTACCAGTAGTGTAATGGAGGGTAAACGCCTTTTTTATTTTAAGCGAGCGTTTACCCAACTATCACGTAAAATGCATAAAAATATATAAGGATGGTGTGATGTGTTACCTGTGGGGAGTGTGATGCTCTTGTTGTAGCCTGCGGCGGAGGACATGGCCTGCTCCAGGGCCTGGTTGGTGCCTAGGGGCTGCTGGGAGCTGCCAGGGGCTTTACTTGTGGCCCCCGCCGAGCGCTGCTTAGACTTGGGGTCTTTGACCGGCTTGGTCCACTCCAGGCTCTCTCCCACCTGCAAGGCAGCGGCCATCTTCTGAGCCATGTCCATCAGCTATGGAAACAAAATGGCGGTATTAGGAAACGTCAAGAAATTGAAGAGGCCATTTTTTTTGCGATGTTATTAAGCCGGTGCAAGAATGTGGAACAATATACTGACCATACTGTATTACATTACATTCATCATATTAACATCAACGTCACGTTAATGCAACATTGGCAAACGTTTGTCTCTTCCATCAGTAGTTTGACCTCACAAGAGGCTGCTGAGGGGAGAACGGCTCATAATAAATGGCCGGAGCGGAGCAAATGGAATGGCATCAAATCATGTGTTTCATGTATTTCATACCATTCCACTCCAGTCAATACCATGAGCCTGTTCTCCCCAATTAAGGTGCCACCAACATCCTGTGTTTGACCTACATTGTATGTAGAGTATAGAGGAAGCTACTGGATTGTACCTCAGGGTCAAACTCAGTGTTGCTGTCCTTCAGTATGTTCACTTTCCTTTCCAACTCCTGGTACTGTTGCAGGGCTCCGTTCTTGTCCCCGTGGTTGTAGAGCAGAATGGCAAAGTTCAGGTTGACCAGAGGGTTGGACCTGGGAGGAACAAGGAGCCGGTGGAAACAGATCGACTCGATAAGTCATAGATAGGTAGATCAGTAATCAAAGGTAGAGTCAGCGATGTATGAAGTAAACAGCACTATTGGGTTGATGTCTGCAACAACTAAGAGCATTAAAGCGAGAGGTACTCTGTGGTCACAGGAGGCTGCTGAAGGGAGAACAGCTTATAATAATGGCTGGAACGGCGCAAATGGAATGGCATTAAACACCTGGAAACCATGTGATTGATGTATTTGATACCGTTCCACCTATTCCGCTCCAGTCATTACCACCAGCCTGTTCTCCCCAATTAAGGTCCCACCAACCTCCTGTGTCTGTGATACTCTGTATATGAGCACATCATCTTGCATCGCACCTACACTGAGTGTACGAAACATTAAGAACACCTTCCTAATATCAGGTTGCAATTGTATCAAGGCTTAAAAATCATTCTTTAACCTGTCTCCTCCCCTTCATCTAAACTGATTGAAGTGGATTTAACAGGTGACATCAATAAGGGATCATAGCTTTCACCTGGTTAGTCATGGAAAGAGCAGGTGTTCTTAATGTTTTGTACACTCAGTGTATAAGCAACATCTGCAGTGCTGCTCGTGGCGATGTCATATCTCTGAGTCTCATTTTAAATTAATTTAATTCAAACACAACTTGAACTTCGTAGATTGACTCAGGACATAAGTTCAAACTGAATGGAAGTTCGATTGGGAGCAACTTACTGGTCTAAAGCCACAGCTTGTTCATAGGATCTCCTGGCATTGTCCACGTCCTCCAGATTGGTCAGTGCAACTGAAAGAGGAGAGTGGTCAGTTCAGTGGTAACTACAACAACTAAACCTATACAAAAAATATAAACCTGTAAACATCCATAAACACATGAATATAAACAGATCCCATTACATGAACATTATTCTAGCGTAAATATAAGGGAATGCCGATGTGATACCTTGAACCAAGTATGTAAGGTGGAAGTGGCACATAAAGCCAATCCAGATGGGAGCAGGCCAGGCCAGGCTAGCATGTACCTGCTAGTAGCATGTAGAGTTCTCCCAGGCCAGGCTAGCGTTACCTGCTAGTAGCATGTAGAGTTCTCCCAGGCCAGGCTAGCATGTACCTGCTAGTAGCATGTAGAGTTCTCCCAGGCCAGGCTAGCGTTACCTGCTAGTAGCATGTAGAGTTCTCCCAGGCCAGGCTAGCGTTACCTGCTAGTAGCATGTAGAGTTCTCCCAGGCCAGGCTAGCGTTACCTGCTAGTAGCATGTAGAGTTCTCCCAGGCCAGGCTAGTGTTACCTGCTAGTAGCATGTAGAGTTCTCCCAGGCGGGGCTAGGTTACTGCTAGTAGCAATGTAGAGTTCTCCCAGCCAGGCTAGTGTTACCTGCTAGTACATGTGAGTTGCCCAGGCCAGGCTAGCATGACCTGCTAAGCAGCAGTAGAGTTCCCCAGGCCAGGCTACATGACCTGCTAGTAGCGTAGAGTTCCCAGCCAGCTAGCGTAACTGCTAGGAGCAGTGAGTTCTCCAGGCCGGCTATTTTAACCTGCTAGTAGCATTAATCTCCCCGGCACAGAGCGTTACCTGCTATAATTGGAGTTCTCCCAGCAGGTGTCGTTACTGCTAGTACATTAGTATTCTCCCAGCGGGGCTATGTACCTGCATGTAGATTATGTTCCCAGGCGGGGCTAGTGTTCAAACTGCTAGTACATGTAGAGTCTTCCAGCCAGGCTAGTGTACCATGCTATAGTGATTCTCCCAGCCAGGTAGCATGACCTGCGTAGCATGTAGATTCTCTTCTCGCCAGCTAAGCTACTGCTAGTAGCATGTAGAGTTCTCCCAGGCCAGGGCTGCGGTTACCTCTGCGGACATGTAATTCTCCCAGCCGGCTATGTTACCTGCTACACATTCAAGTTCTCCCAGGCTCAGCTAGCGACCTGCTAGTACATGTAGAGTTCTCCCAGGCCAGCTAGTGTTACCTGCTAGTCAGCAGTAATTCTCAGACCAGGCTAGCTTACCTGCAGGTAGCATGTAGAGTTCTCCCAGCGGGGCTAGCGTACCTGCTAGTAGCATTAGAGTTCTCCAGGCCAGGCTAGCGTTACTGCTAGTGCATGTAGAGTTCCCCAGGCGGGCAGCGTTACTGCTATAGCTGTAGAGTTCCCAGCGCAGGTACGTTACATCTAGTAGCGTAGAGTTCTCCCAGGCGGGGCTAGGTTCCTGCTAGCAGCATTAGAGTTCTCAGCGGGGCTAGCCTTACTGCTTAGCATGTAGAGTTCTCCCAGGCCAGGCTAGCCCCATGTAGAGTTCTCCCAGGCGGGGCTGCAGGTTGGTGGCAGCGCTGAGGAAGAGGAAGGCAGAGGCATACTGCTGCATGGTGAGGTGCACCAGGCCCAGGTTGTACAGCACCTTCCAGTCAAACGGAGACAGGTAGTGGGCCCGCTTCAGACAGCTGATGGCCTGGTTCACACAGAAAGGAAACCGGAACGGAGAGGGGTTTAACATGGCTAGACAACAAAACAACAACTGTCCTAAAAATGGCATTTGAGGTGTGTACTGTAGTCTTAGTATGCCCCCTTTGATGCCATGGAAATATATGACAATCTGTCAAATGACATACATCGGTCCTTGACGCCGTCTTATATGTACAGTATGTGAAATGTGAGAATACTCACTGCTACATATTTCTTCTTGCCGAAGAAGCACATGCCGATGTTGTTCCAGAGCGGGGGGCTCTCGGGGACCATGCGTGCTGCCACGCGGTACTTGTTCATGGCCACATCAAAGTCCCCATGGGTCTGCATCATACTGCCTGCTGCCAGGATGGCCTAGCAGGGACGCATACACATAACTGACATACTGTACATCAGGGATCATCAACTAGATTCAGACGCAGGGATCATCAACTAGATTCAGCCGCAGGGATCATCAACTAGATTCAGACGCAGGGATCATCAACTAGATTCAGACGCAGGGATCATCAACTAGATTCAGACGCAGGGATCATCAACTAGATTCAGCTGCAGGCCCATTTCTTCTTGAGTGGATAGTCAGGGAGCCGGAACATAATTACAAATAATTTGTAGACTGCAAATTGACCGCAAGAAGCTCAAACAGATATAATATCTGACTAAAACATAATAATTTCAAACCTTGCTTACATTTGTATACAATCACATATATCTCTCTATTATGCTTGGAAATACTTTGGAACATATTTCCAAAATTAAAATCACTTGGAGCTGATTTTCTGGTGTTTTTAGTCTTTTATGTCCAACAATAAAATAAAATAAATATATAAGTTTGAGAAACAGACTCCTCAACTGGCAGCTTCATGAAATAGTACCGGGTACTGTTTCTCAAACTAGACACTCTAATGTATTTGTCCTCTTGCTCAGTTGTGCACCAGGGCCTCCCACTCCTCTTTTATATTCTGGTTAGAGCCAGTTTGGGCTGTTCTGTGAAGGGAGTAGTACACAGCGTTGTACGAGATCTTCAGTTTCTTTTCTTACATGGAATAGCCTTCATTTCTCAGAACAAGAATAGACTGATGAGTTTCAGAAGAAAGTTATTTGTTTCTGGCCATTTTGATCCTGTAATCGAACCCACAATTGCTGATGCTCCAGATACTCAACTAGTCTCAAGAAGGCCAGTTTTATTGCTGCTTTAATCAGCACAACAATTTTCAGCTGTGCTAACATAATTGCAAAATGGTTTTCTAATGATCAATTAGCCTTTTAAAATGATAAACTTGGATTAGCAAACACAACATGCCATTGGAACACAGGACTGATGGTTGCTGATAATGGGCCTCTGTACGCCTATGTATATATTCCATTAAAAATCAGCCGTTTCCAGCTACAATAGCCATTTACAACATTAACAATGTCTACACTGTATTTCTGATCAATTTGATGTTCTTTTAATGGACACAAAAATTGCTTTTCTTTCGAAAACAAGGACATTTCTAAGTGACCCCAAACTTTTGAACGGTAGTGTATATACAGTGGGGAGAACAAGTATTTGATACACTGCCGATTTTGCAGGTTTTCCTACTTACAAAGCATGTAGAGGTCTGTAATTTTTTTATCATAGGTACACTTCAACTGTGAGAAATCGAATCTAAAACAAAAATCCAGAAAATCACATTGTATGATTTTTAAGTAATTAATTTGCATTTTATTGCATGACATAAGTATTTGATACATCAGAAAAGCAGAACTTAATATTTGGTACAGAAACCTTTGTTTGCAATTACAGAGATCATACGTTTCCTGTAGGTCTTGACCAGGTTTGCACACACTGCAGCAGGGATTTTGGCCCACTCCTCCATACAGACCTTCTCCAGATCCTTCAGGTTTCGGGGCTGTCGGTGGGCAATACAGACTTTCAGCTCCCTCCAAAGACTTTCTATTGGGTTCAGGTCTGGAGACTGGCTAGGCCACTCCAGGACCTTGAGATGCTTCTTACGGAGCCACTCCTTAGTTGCCCTGGCTGTGTGTTTTGGGTCGTTGTCATGCTGGAAGACCCAGCCACAACCCATCTTCAATGCTCTTACTGAGGGAAGGAGGTTGTTGGCCAAGATCTTGCGATACATGGCCCCATCCATCCTCCCCTCAATAAGGTGCAGTCATCCTGTCCCCTTTGCAGAAAAGCATCCCCAAAGAATGATGTTTCCACCTCCATGCTTCACGGTTGGGATGGTGTTCTTGGGGTTGTACTCATCCTTCTTCTTCCTCCAAACACTGCGAGTGGAGTTTAGACCAAAAAGCTATATTTTTGTCTCATCAGACTACATGACCTTCTCCCATTCCTCCTCTGGATCATCCAGATGGTCATTGGCAAACTTCAGACGGGCCTGGACATGCGCTGGCTTGAGCAGGGGTACCTTGCGTGCACTGCAGGATTTTAATCCATGACGGCGTAGTGTGTTACTAATGGTTTTCTTTGAGACTGTGGTCCCAGCTCTCTTCAGGTCATTGACCAGGTCCTGCCGTGTAGTTCTGGGCTGATCCCTCACCTTCCTCATGATCATTGATGCCCCACAAGGTGAGATCTTGCATGGAGCCCCAGACTGAGGGTGATTGACTGTCATCTTGAACTTCTTCCATTTTCTAATAAATTCTAATTTCTAACAGTTGTTGCCTTCTCACCAAGCTGCTTGCCTATTGTCCTGTAGCCCATCCCAGCCTTGTGCAGGTCTATCATGAACTGATGTCCTTACACAGCTCTCTGGTCTTGGCCATTGTGGAGAGGTTGGAGTCTGTTTGATTGAGTGTGTGGACAGGTGTCTTTTATACAGGTAACGAGTTCAAACAGGTGCAGTTAATACAGGTAATGAGTGGAGAACAGGAGGGCTTCTTAAAGAAAAACTAACAGGTCTGTGAGAGCCAGAATTCTTACTGGTTGGTAGGTGATCAAATACTTATGTCATGCAATAAAATGCAAATGAATTACTTAAAACTCATACAATGTGATTTTCTGGATTTTTGTTTTAGATTCTGTCTCTCACAGTTGAAGTGTACCTATGATAAAAATTACAGACCTCTACAGTGAGGGAAAAAAGTATTTGATCCCCTGCTGGTTTTGTACGTTTGCCCACTGACAAAGACATGATCAGTCTATAATTTTAATGGTAGGTTTATTTGAACAGTGAGAGACAGAATCACAACAGAAAAATCCAGAAAAACGCATGTCAAAAATGTTATAAATTGATTTGCATTTTAATGAGGGAAATAAGTATTTGACACCTCTGCAAAACATGATTTATAGTACTTGGTGGCAAAACCCTTGTTGGCAATCACAGAGGTCAGACGTTTCTTGTAGTTGGCCACCAGGTTTTCACACATCTCAGGAGGGATTTTGTCCCACTCCTCTTTGCAGATCTTCTCCAAGTCATTAAGGTTTCGAGGCTGACGTTTGGCAACTCAAAACTTCAGCTCCCTCCACAGATTTTCTATGGGATTAAGGTCTGGAGACTGGCTAGGCCACTCCAGGACCTTAATGTGCTTCTTCTTGAGCCACTCCTTTGTTGCCTTGGCCATTTGTTTTGGGTCATTGTCATGCTGGAATACCCATCCACGACCCATTTTCAATGCCCTGGCTGAGGGAAGGTACAGTGGGGAAAAAAAGTATTTAGTCAGCCACCAATTGTGCAAGTTCTCCCACTTAAAAAGATGAGAGAGGCCTGTAATTTTCATCATAGGTACACGTCAACTATGACAGACAAAATGAGGGAAAAAAATCCAGAAAATCACATTGTAGGATTTTTAATGAATTTATTTGCAAGTTATGGTGGAAAATAAGTATTTGGTCAATAACAAAAGTTTCTCAATACTTTGTTATATACCCTTTGTTGGCAATGACACAGGTCAAACGTTTTCTGTAAGTCTTCACAAGGTTTTCACACACTGTTGCTGGTATTTTGGCCCATTCCTCCATGCAGATCTCCTCTAGAGCAGTGATGTTTTGGGGCTGTCGCTGGGCAACACAGACTTTCAACTCCCTCCAAAGATTTTCTATGGGGTTGAGATCTGGAGACTGGCTAGGCCACTCCAGGACCTTGAAATGCTTCTTACGAAGCCACTCCTTCGTTGCCCGGGCGGTGTGTTTGGGATCATTGTCATGCTGAAAGACCCAGCCACGTTTCATCTTCAATGCCCTTGCTGATGGAAGGAGGTTTTCACTCAATCTCACGATACATGGCCCCATTCATTCTTTCCTTTACATGGATCAGTCATCCTGGTCCCTTTGCAGAAAAACAGCCCCAAAGCATGATGTTTCCACCCCCATGCTTCACAGTAGGTATGGTGTTCTTTGGATGCAACTCAGCATTCTTTGTCCTCCAAACACGACGAGTTGAGTTTTTACCAAAAAGTTCTATTTTGGTTTCATCTGACCATATGACATTCTCCCAATCCTCTTCTGGATCATCCAAATGCACTCTAGCAAACTTCAGACGGGCCTGGACATGTACTGGCTTAAGCAGGGGGACTGCAGGATTTGAGTCCCTGGCGGCGTAGTGTGTTACTGATGGTAGGCTTTGTTACTTTGGTCCCAGCTCTCTGCAGGTCATTCACTAGGTCCCCCCATGTGGTTCTGGGATTTTTGCTCACCGTTCTTGTGATCATTTTGACCCCACAGGGTGAGCTCTTGCGTGGAGCCCCAGATCGAGGGAGATTATCAGTTGTCTTGTATGTCTTCCATTTCCTAATAATTGCTCCCACAGTTGATTTCTTCAAACCAAGCTGCTTACCTATTGCAGATTCAGTCTTCCCAGCCTGGTGCAGGTCTACAATTTTGTTTCTGGTGTCCTTTGACAGCTCTTTGGTCTTGGCCATAGTGGAGTTTGGAGTGTGACTGTTTGAGGTTGTGGACAGGTGTCTTTTATACGGATAACAAGTTCAAACAGGTGCCATTAATACAGGTAACGAGTGGAGGACAGAGGAGCCTCTTAAAGAAGAAGTTACAGGTCTGTGAGAGCCAGAAATCTTGCTTGTTTGTAGGTGACCAAATACTTATTTTCCACCATAATTTGCAAATAAATTCATTAAAAATCCTACAATGTGATTTTCTGGAATTTCTTTTCTCAATTTGTCTGTCATAGTTGACGTGTACCTATGATGAAAATTACAGGCCTCTCTCATCTTTTTAAGTGGGAGAACTTGCACAATTGGTGGCTGACTAAATACTTTTTTTCCCCACTGTAGGTTCTCACCAAGATTTGACGGTACATGGCCCCGTCCATCGTCCCTTTGATGCGGTGAAGTTGTCCTGTCCCCTTAGCAGAAAAACACCCCCAAAGCATAATGTTTCCACCTCCATGTTTGACGGTGGGGATGGTGTTCTTGGGGTCATAAGCAGCATTCCTCCTCCTCCAAAAACGGCGAGTTGAGTTGATGCCAAAGAGCTCGATTTTGGTCTCATCTGACCACAACACTTTGACCCAGTTCTCCTCTGAATCATTCAGATGTTCATTGGCAAACTTCAGACGGGCCTGTATATGTGCTTTATTGAGCAGGGGGACCTTGCGGGTGCTGCAGGATTTCAGTCCTTCACGGCGAAGTGTGTTACCAATTGTTTTCTTGGTGACTATGGTCCCAGCTGCCTTGAGATCATTGACAAGATCCTCCCGTGTAGTTCTGGGCTGAATCCTCACCGTTCTCATGATCGTTGCAACTCCACGAGGTGAGATCTTGCATGGAGCCCCAGGCCGAGGGAGATTGACAGTTATTTTGTGTTTCTTCCATTTGCGAATAATCGCACCAACTGTTGTCACCTTCTCACCAAGCCGCTTGGCGATGGTCTTGTAGCCCATTCCAGCCTTGTGTAGGTCTACAATCTTGTCCCTGTCATTCTTGGAGAGCTCTTTGGTCTTGGCCATGGTGGAGAGTTTGGAATCTGATTGATTGATTGCTTCTGTGGACAGGTGTCTTTTATACAGGTAACAAACTGAGATTAGGAGCACTCCCTTTAAGAGTGTGCTCCTAATCTCAGCTCGTTACCTGTATAAAAGACACCTGGGAGCCAGAAATCTTTCTGATTGAGAGGGGGTCAAATACTTATTTCCCTCATTAAAATGCAAATCAATTTATAACATTTTTGACATGTTTTTCTGGATTTTTTTGTTGTTCTTCTGTCTCTTACTGTTCAAATAAACCTACCATTAAAATTATAGACTGATCATTTCTTTGTCAGTGGGCAAACGTACAAAATCAGCAGGGGATCAAATACTTTTTTCCCTCACTGTACATGCTTTGTAAGTAGGAAAACCTGCAAAATCGGCAGTGTATCAAATACTTGTTCTCCCCACTGTATATATTTATTTTATTTATTTTTTTTGCTCAGAAAACTTGGGTGGCCAAATAAAATAGATTTGGCCTGCGGGCCGCCAGTTGGGGAACCCTACTGCACATTATAAACATACAGTACAGCAGACCCAATGTTGCAGTACATGTATCAGGTGTTTATAAAAAGTGAAACAAGCTCATAATATGGTGGCCACTTACCTTATAGTTATTAGGGTCGTAAGTAAGTGCATTCCCGAGATGTTCAAATGCTTTTTGGTATTTTCCCAGCTGTGGAAGATTACCAACAATCAGTGACAACAAATATCACCATTCTGGAAAAACGTCATTCAATTTTTTTGGGGGACACAACATAATATACTAACCCATTTCCTAATAAAAAAACATTCCACTCTTAAGAGTGTGTTCAGAGTTGATTTCAGACCCACCTGCAGATACAGGAGCCCCAGAGTGGTCAGCAACTCTGCATTCTCTGGAGAGAACCTACACAGAGGGAAAGACACCTCTAATTTCACCTCTACGCATGTAATTACACATAATAATGTCTATCTACACTTAGTCTCATGCAAATAGAAGAACGGATCTTGTAATTTGCTGATTATTTAATGGGTTCGATTCAGCATAATTGCAGAGTATTAATTATGACTGGGGGGAAGAAAACACATAAAGAAAGCCTTGTGAGGGGAGGAGGAGAGACGAGAGGCTGAGGTTGAATCAAGGTTCACAATGGTAAGTCTAATTAAAAGCAAGCCGAGTAGCTGGGCGACTTGATTAATTCATTTACCCAATAGGCAGTAGTAATAATGAGCACGGCAACGCGGGACACATATATACACTGACTTTTGTCATTACCTTATTTCCTCCGCTGCCCTGGATAGGACGATTCTTTAATGGATATTTGGGCTGTGATCCTATATCCATACTAATATCCATACTGACATACCACTTACTCATACTAGAATACCATTTGCCAGTATGGATACACACACACACAAATGTATTGCTTCGTTCTAAGTAATATGCTAGTGAGGATACTGAAACAGAGATTTGGACTTGTACAGTATGTTGAACAAGGAAATGGGTGGCCTTCAGTCAGAGATGATAAGTGAGTCTGATTCAGTTGTTTAGATGATTGAAATCAACCATTTTAGAGCAGACATTTTTAAACTAGTGTGATCACAACCAGGAACAGATCCCAATGTTTAAAGCACAGCATGTTTTTTTTTTGTCTTAAGGGATTTTCTACTAACCTTTTATTCCATCTTAAATGAACATCATCATTAATAGCTATGTAGGGGAAAATTACCCTTCTGCTGCATAATCATTACTGTGAAAAGGTTGTCTAAAACTCGTCTATATTATCATTGCTCTATTATTAAAAAACTATTCACTAATGAAGGCTTTAGTGCTGCATGTTTTTTAAATAATGGAAGTTCAGTGAAAGTTGTTCCTCTAGTATTAAAAACGAACACATTTAGGTTTTTAATAACAAAGCAACCTTTCAACAAACCTACATTTTCTTCCATGAGGATGAACTTCTTTTAAACTTAATTACAGTGAATGTTCTCTCTAAATGTCACCTATTCACAATCCTATAATAAACAAATGTCCCATAGGAGATTTTCTAGAGCATATTAGAAGTAGTGCAAAGTTTCCCAACTTTTAGAACCGTTTTTTAAACGTTTAAAACGTTTTAGAACAGTCTCTACATCCAAACTTACTCAACTGCACTCTTGTACACTTCGATGGCTTTGTCCGTGTCTCCCGCCAACAAGTGGACCTTTCCCAGTGTCATGAATGTCCTGTCGTGTTTTTTCAACTGCAAGGCTGCATTCAACTGCTCTTCAGACTGGAAAACAACAGATATCTCTACTCTATCATCCACCGTCAAATACTTGAACAATGGCTGAGGTGCCATTTCATTCAGAAATGTGTATTAAAATAACAATTTAGTCGAATTACTTCCTTATGAACAGTGTGTCAAAATCCAGCTCATACTCACATTTTGGAAGTCTTTTATGAAGGAATAGCATACACCCAGATTATGGTTGATCTCCTGGAGTGAGAAAAATATCAGAGTGGCTATATGGAGCTACAAAACAAATAAAAATGGCTGAATATGCATATAGTTCATTGTTCCACACTTAACCCCTATAGCTGAAAAGCAGTGTGTAAATCCAGGAAGAGCAATGCTGATTGATAAATCTTAAGTTGCCAATGGTTACAGGTACAGGCCAAAAATAAGGAGAGGAAACCACAATCTTTTCTCTTACCCAGTCTTTCTCATTGAGCTTCCCGGCTTCATGATAAACCTCAATGGCTGCCTTGTGTTTCCCAAGCAGAAAACTGAAAAAATATATACATAAACAACTATAAAAATGGACGTACAAGCACAGAGTAACCCTAAATCCAACATCTCCTAAATCAGCCAATGCCCGGTGTGTATTCTGCCGCAAAATGGTAGACGCGCATCACCAAGGCGGATGCCAAACATAGTTCCCATCCCTAATACCATACAAACTACCTTGATCTCGTAAGGAACCCTGCACAACACAATCTGATATCATTATTATATTCTGTATGACCTGTTCCTGCCTGTTGAGTGCTATGATCAAAAGCAGTGTCTAGCCCAGGCAGGCTCAGTGCTCAGGCAGGGTACTCTCTACTCACAGCGATCGGGCTACTTGTTTGAGGTTGTCGGAGCTGGTGGGATTGAGGATGGCACAGCTCTGGAACAACTCCAGGGACGGCTGGATCTGCCCCTCCAGACGCAAGATTAGTGCTTCATAGCAAGAAAATAGGCTTTTACATTAGCATGAAAAGGAGTTAAACCAACACATTAAAATCTAAGGCGCAGTAGGGGGTAGAAGCCTGTTTGTTGGGAGGAAATTGTGCATCTAAAGCTTGGTTTTGAGTGGAATAGACTAGAGCTCTGTTGTGGTTGGGATAAACCGTTTGAACGTGATGAACACACGATGAGGGATGTGGAACGTAATGTAGTATGGCTTCTTACCTTGTACGTATATGGCATATTCACACATTCCCTGGGTTTCCTGTAGCTGGTCTTTGATCATTGCCTTTGGGGAAACAACAAACATGATCTCCGCTCCTGGAGCAAACTGATGTTACAAGAATATTGCAAGAAAGAATATTGCAAGAACTGAAAATGGACTGTATTTCCTAAGTTGGTAGTCTCTTCCCACAGCCGATATCTCCAACATACTGGGGTGGAGTGCCATGAGTCTGGCAGGGAAGACTAATACATTGGCTACACTCAGTTTTGGGATTGACAGATAAAGCATTCCTATGCCAACTAAGACGGACATACAGGTAACTGGCAAAAGAATGTAAAACATTTTATTTTAAAGTGTCTTAATAGGGTGTTGGGCCACCATGAGCCAGAACAGCTTCAATACACCTTGGCATAGATTCTAGAAGTGTCTGGAACTCTATTGGAGGGATGCGACACCATTCTTCCACAAGAAATTCCATAATTTGGTGTTTTGTTGATGGTGGTGGAAAACGCTGTCTCAGGCGCCGCCTCAGAATCTCCAATAAGTGTTCAATTGGGTTGAGATCTGGTGACTGAGACGGCAATGGCATATGGTTTACATAGTTTTCATGCTCATCAAACCATTCAGTGACCACTCGTGCCCCTGTGGATGGGGCCATTGTCATCCTATGGGGGCATAGCCATGGTAGCCAAAATAATGGCCTGCCCAGCATTTCTATACATGACCCTAATCATGATGGGATGTTAATTGCTTAATTAACTCAGAAACCACACCTGGGTGGAAGCAACTGCTTTTTAAATATACTTTGTATCCCTCATTTACTCAAGGGTTTCCTTTATTTTGGCAGTTACCTGTAGTAACCCGACATTCTTGGTTATAACAGCTGTTGTTACAAAACTGTACTTCGGAGATTGTGTAGTGGGTTCATATTTATTTAACCATGCATGCAGGGTAGGAGAAAATAGCATGCCCTAGTAGCATTTTCAAATGTACAGACGGAACACAGCTTGAAACAGATGATTACATCACTATCTTCTCAGCAGTCCCTTTTCAGTAGAAGACATTAAGACAAAGGGAGGGGGAGGGAGCCCTTGATGCCTTCATTCATTATCTGCATGCTGTCTAGGCTAACAGAAAGGGCAGTGTAACACCAATGCACATTAAACAAGGGGGAAATGAATGACAGTCAGGGACTGGACCGGACCACCGGCAGAGACAGCGGGGGGGGGGGGGTGGCATACCTTGCAGGTCTCATAGTCTTTGCGGATGTAGTGCAGGTGGATGAGCCAGTTCCTCCTCTCCAGAATGGGAAGTTCCGGAGCTGAGGAGGAGAGGCAGAGTAGACATTCAGGGGTGATGAGGAGACGGCATATTGGCCCGATACCAAACAAACCCCTCCACCCTTTCTCATTATAGGCCCTTGTTGACCCGCGCTGATAAGAATAGATTTAATAGAACAATCCACGACGCGGTCAGAAATGAATGCATCGAGTACAGCAAAACGGTCTCATTCTTACCTCTCAGAACAACTGAAGCTGACATTACTGTATATGAGTTGAGTCATGCTGCCATGTAATGTTATACTATCTCAAATCAAAGTTGATTGGTCGCATACACAGATTTGCAGATGTTATCGCAGGTGCAGTGAAATGCTTGTGTTTCTAGCTCCAACAGTACAGTAATAATACCTAGCGATACAAAACAATACACAATAATCCCAAAAAGTAAAAAGAAAGAAATCAAGAAATATCAATAAGAAATGCAATTAAATTAAGAAATATCTATAGCATTTTCAATGATAAATAAGAAGAGACTATCTCCTTTAAAGTTATTGCCATTCTATTACCTGAAACTACGGTGATCTGCATCAGTCTTTAATAAGACAACCACAGATGCAACATTTTCCAACAAAAACCTTTCAGGCTACATTCCTCAGACGTAATACCTCAGTAAGTTAGATAATAGTTACAGTACTGCTAATTGTTAGCTACAGAACATGACGTTGTTTTATTATGCCTCTGCCATTAAGATATGATCCTTGTTGCCCAGGCAACCATGTCTTTAACAAGCTCAGGGCTCCTGACAGGAATGAGGAGCACATACTACAGACAGACAGACAGACAAAGGGAACATGAAAATCAATACAGTGGGATATATTTGGTGAGCTAAGATAGCCATGCCAACCGTGCTGCTGTATAACAGTACTGGAAACCTTTCCTCTAGCAGAACACAATTGTATTCAAGAAAGCGGCCATTGTAATTCCAAATAGAGTGACTTCTTTGATTTCAGTAATCCTTTTATCTTGTACCTACCGGTGAGGCAGCAATAGGATACTGGCTATATGAAATGAAGCTGACTGAGACCACACTACAGGGTCTGGTCCTGCATGTTATTAGGCTAGTGCCTGTGGAAATACTGTGATTTACACCAAAGCTCCCCTCTGTTTTATCTCACCAATCCTTAAGTCGGAGCTCCAGTGTCTCACAGCAAGAACCCCGACTGGAGCCCCACTCTAACCCCACAGAGAGAGCCTTCCCTTTTTCCCCTGTTCGCTGAGTGGTAGACTGCAGTGCATGAAGACTGCATTCCCCCTCTCATATTTGCCGCATCAGATTTGGAGTGGCCCTATTTGTGGGCTTAATCCGCTTTGGCTCTTGCCGAGACAGCAATAATATTCTTGTCTCTGGGTTTCAGCTGCGGCCCTGTGGCACTCTAAGTCCACACTTACTAAAGCTGGGCAGATTTTGAGGAGGGAGGGGAGTTGGTGTGTGACACGTCTTTACGGGACAATAAAGAGAGTAGCAGCCATAGGAAGAGGAACCCAGCATGGAACCGTCCAAATATAGCCAGCGAAAAGGTTTCATCCCCCCCAAAAAAATGCTCTCATTGTATGCATGATCTCTGTAATGTGTAGAGAGAGGAGACAGATTTGTATTATTCTGTTAACTATTTTTTAAAATCCAGCTGAGCAACGAGGATAAGTTGGAGCAGAATGCTTGAAGAAAAGCCGAGATCAAAAGACCCCTGAAGCGGATCAAGTTCACTCTTCAACTTGTCACCTCTTCGGAAATTGAGGTCAAGTGGAAGAATTGTGGGTTGGTGCTTCTCCTACAATTGCTTTGTATCAATAACATGACTTCTGTAGTGGGCTGCACAACAATAAGAGTTGGCACACAAAATACAGCGGGTGATGAATGAAGCGGCCTAAGGGTGATATCATGGCCTTTAAAAAAATATTGAAGGTCAACTTCTGTGGGATGGATGAAAACAATATCTACAAGCTATTCTATACGAATGACCTATATATTCTTACTGTGTCTTGGAATATGGTTGTGAGTTTGTCAGCTTAAACATAGGAAAAAGGGTAAGGGTGCCCTCTATAGTCTCATAAAATATTTGTTTAAAAGTCTGTAACACACTGCAGCGAGCATTAATTCTGGCATTTTGACTTAAGTCTCGTCCATATGCAACAGTGAGGGTTGGGTTTAGAGGACGGACTGTTTTGGCAACTACGATAACGGGAAAAATTTGTTCCGGGGTGGGTCCTCTTCAGACAGACAACTCTCCCAAAAAATCACAAAGCAGACATGCCAGAATGTCGTGTTTCGAAATCAAAGTTTGCAGGCAAAACATTTGCAGTGGTTTTAGTTAAAGTAGTTAATGCAAACTAGCCACTTGCGAAATGCACTCATAAAAAATAACCTCTGTGATCTTCATCTTGCTAGCTACTATTTTGTATTTTATTCAAGCGGATAAGGTAGTGACTAGGCAGCAGTGAAGGCTGCTGAGGGGAGGACGGCTCATAAATGGCTGGAATGGAGTCAATGGAATGGTAACAAAGACATCAAACACATGGTTTCCATGTGTTTGATGCCATTCCAATGACTCCATTCCAGCCATTATAATGAGCCATCCTCCCTTCAGCAGCCTCCACTGGTAGGCAGTGACGTTGTTCCTCTATGCCAAACCGACGTTCTATTACGTACAGACGCTGTTAAGCCGGAGCGTTTTAAAATTGTGGGAGGCAACCTGGATATCTAGAGAGACTAATTTTGACTAGGGTGACCTTAGTAAATGCTTTCAGTTAGCCAAACCATTTCCCCCAAATAAATAGGCCTATAGCATCATACCTGTGCAACTAATGCCCTCCACTGTCATGTTAAAACACAGGCCTATGTGACATTTCAATGGAAAACTGTAGTCTTTTGAAGAGAAGAAGTACAATCATTCACACAGTCACTGTTGTGTAATTAGACATTTACCTTTTGGAGCCTGGCGTTTCTTCAGCTCAGAGGCCACTGGAAGCTGAAAAAGACCAACAGTTACTTTGAGAGGGAGATCCATGAGGCAACACATTGTGATGTGGTCAGGGAGAGAGAGTCTCCATTTTGGAGCAACTCCTGGCCTGCATCCTGCCACCTCATTCACCATTCCCCTCTGGGGATGCATTATACACTACACCTGGACCATCAGACTCTTTTGGTGACAGTCAGCCATCTTTTGTTGGCACACCAAGTAGACTAGAACACTTATAAGGGAGTTTGATGCCGCTAGAAGGCCCTGTACTAGGCATGACATGGCTCCAGCGGAGACATGCCTGTCCTTTTATGTAGGAGCTTTACTTTAATACACTCATTACCTCTTTCACCACCTTTTGTTGTGGGGCTTTTGCTTCCCCTATAACTCACTTTACTGTTGATTTTGCTGTATTATTGATTTTGCATTGTAGATATGTTATGGTAGAGTAGTGTGTAATAATGAGTTGTGTTATGTATTGATTTATTGTATGTAATTGTGATTGGATCCCAGGAAGAGTAGCTGCAGCCAATGGGGATCCGGAATAAATACAAAATACTGTGTTTGGTATTTGTTCAAATGCAAGGTTTGTCTGTGCTTGCTGTTGCCAAGTTTCTTTTTACATTTTCTATCACCAATAGGTTTTTTGTGTGGTTTTCAAATATTAAATTACTGCTAGAATATGTTATTCATTTAATTGAGTGTTGATTTGGTTGGACTAAATTGCATTGCGATGACTTTGTTCTACACATGTTCATAAAACACATTTATTGAGGGTCTCTTCAAAGAACAAAGCATTCACATAAAACAAAGTAATGTAACATAACGTTTACGTAAAAAAATCTCTTAAAAATACAAAGTGTAACATAGCATTCAAGAACATCTTGAAAACATACTGCGCAAAAGTAAATAGCATTCAAGAAAAAGTGTTGCACTGCAAATTCACAACGTCGTTACGAAATGTTATTTGTTGGCATAGCCACAACATGAGCAATGCGGTATTTAACACTACGTAATCACAAACAACTTGCACCACAAAGCTCAAACATCAGTGTACGGTTATGATGGTGTCCTGTAAAGAGGTCATAATGGCATCCCGTATGATAGCAACCCTTTCCTCCACTGGCCCTTGTAGTAAACTCTGGTCTTGCTCTGTGAGCTCAGCCTCTGTCTGCTGATGATCCTGGCCAATGAGGATCCGGTTCCATTCAGGCAGAAACTCTTCTTTCTTCAGCTGATCTTGGCCAATGTTCCATTCAGCCGAAACTCTTCTTTCTTCAGTTCGCACACATTGTGCAGTATGCAACACGCCGTCACAATGTCTGTCGTCAACTTAATGTCAATGTTCATGCACTTCACCAAACATCTCCAGCGTCCATTAAAGCGTCCTAAGGCGTCATCAATAGCCACCCAGGCAGAACTCAGGTGGTCATTAAACTTCTGCTGGTGGTTATTCAGAGCTGTGTCCTGGGTAAAGCCTGTCATTAATCACCTCTTCAGTGGGTACGCTTGGTCTCCTACCAGATGAACTGGTATCTCTACTCCATTCACAATCGCTGAATTCTGTGACAGAGGGAATAATTGTAGATTCAGAAACAATTGTACACCTACAGTAAATAGGTCATAACTAAAAACTTTGCAACCATAGTAATGTGCTTAAATTCTATATAACTGTAGCAAAATCATAGATGTTTAATTACATACCTCCTGGAGAAAAAGATGGCCCCCCTGCCAGTCTGAAAAGATCAGAGTTGGCCAATACTCTGTCATCCCCTGTGCGACCTGGACACCCCACATAGACATCAGTGAAGCTAGAAAAATAAAGAAAATAAACAGTTAAAACATGTCTTATATATCACCAAGTGGTAACATGGCCTCTGTTTGTCAAAACAGACATTCGATGAGCAGCAGAACACTTACCAGAGGTTGTGATCAGCAACAGCCTGCAAAACAACAGAATGCTGCCCTTTGCTGTTCAAGTAGTCCTTTGGATTATATTTTGGGGATGTGTCTCGCAGATGGCACCTGCACATTGTGGATACCCAAGCTGCTTAAACCCACAGATGGTGTCTACCGTGCCTTCACCACCGGGTAGCGAAATAATGCGGTTGTACATTGTCTTCACAACAGCTGCGGTAACCTGTCGTAGAATGATGAAAACAGTAGAGACGCCGACTCCAAATAAACTTGAAATAATGTGGTACTCGCTCGGTGTTGCACACCACCACAAAAAGAGAGCAAGCATTTCACGGTATTAAATTGTGTTTCGGACATTGGTGGTCTGTTTAGTTATCTTGGACTCTAGTAACTGTGCAAGGTGCTCAAATGTGGTCCAAGTCATGCGGAAGTGTTTGCGCCATTGAACATCGTCGAAACCATCCAACTGCAAAAAGCTTCACCGCGTCTTCGATCCCGCTTCCACACACTTCGAAGGCATGTTGCATCCTCGACTGCTGCTTCTTTCGTCAGTACAGACACTGTGGTTGTAGCGCGTAAACGCCAAAACTGTCGGTGTTTGTGCCGTCGTTCAACGTCATATCGTTGTCTGCTCAGGCGTATCTCTCGAGTGAGATTATTCTGACTACTAGAAAGTAGACTCAGCATGCTCTGTTGCAACTTTACTACAGCATTATTTACCAAATGCATTAACGAAATTACCTTAAGAAGGCTGGCTCCAGCAACACTTTCATCCGCCATGTTTGCTGTCCAACAACAATAACAACGTGTCGCCGACTAATAATGACGACTTCACATCTGCTTGTGGCGTCCAGTTATATTGGGCGTCATTAAGAACGCAATAAAAATCTTTGAACTATTTGAATTGAATGCACACTAATTTCAACGTATGGAATAAAGCCATACCCCTTGATTTCGAAAAATAACGTTAGGACATTAATTTCGTGAGTTTAGCTAATTAGCTAGCTAAGCAAACGTATTACTGTAGCAGGTTAGGATAATTAAGTTAAGATTAGGGTTAGGGTTAGCTAAAATGCAAAACATTCCAACTTTTGTTGTCTTTCGTTATTTGACAAAAACATTTTAGCCATGACCCAATTAGAGCTGTAACGTCAACAGTTACTGCTGTAACGACTTTGCTAGCATTAGCAAGCTAGTCGTTAGCTATCTGCTATGTTTTCAGCTAGATAGAGCTGGAGAATGCTCAGCAAAACGTTCCTAGACATAGTACACTGCTAACAACAAACATCCCAGCTAGTTATCTCCGAGACATTGCAGATTTTATTCGGTTTACCATTGTAATCCCAATTCATAGCAAGTAAATTATCCTCACAGTTAGTGTGTTTTCTTCGTCCGCCATCTTGACCGCACACACAACAGCGCGCAGGATGCTGTTGCCATAGTTACGCTAGAGGAAAGGGGTCTTTTTTTAGCTGTTTCAAAAATCCTTACCAGAGATTATGAAGGAGTTCTGTCTCTAACGTTTCTGACATTGCTGTGTTGGGGAAGTTACTCTGAAAGTATAGTTTACGAAGCTACCAATTACTTAACTTGAAGAAGTTAAACTGCACTAAAGCTACCCTTAAGAAAAATATAGTTTACTAAACTAGTAGTAGTTCACTACATCCAAACTACTTCGTAATAAATTACCATAATTAATGTCAAACTGAAACAGATCACTTTGGGTCATACGTTAACATAATTAATGTATAGCTTTATGTATGGGGCGGCGCTTAAATTTAGCCATAAGGGAAACACTTAAGATATTTTATGCAACCGGGCCCAGGACCACGTTCAGTTGTCAGACGTTCTCGAACGTTGCAGATAAAAAACCATGAATAGAGCCAATGTTATTCCTTAGTCTACATTTCAGAGAGGCATGTTTGATCTACATTACATATTTATATTTGAACGTTCCAAAACGTTGCGTCCTGCTGAACGCGCCCCTGCTTTCACCAATTTTGGTCCCGCCCTGTTCACGCTCCCTCGCCATGCTCGCACAGAGAACGGGACACAACAATGCTGGCTGAGAAGGGGCACTGTTGCCTCCAGTGCATTTAGGTAGAGACGTTGCGCTATTAATAGTGACAGCAAAACTACAAAGAAGAAGCAATTGTCCAATCAGGAGAGAGCATGACAGTCACAACAAAGATGGACGCTTCATATCTGGTCACAATAAACACAATTTTAGTCACGTTGTTTTTTTGTTCAGTTGGCTAAAAATGCTGTCTCAAGACCTATGGCTAGTCTAGATAGTTCCACTCCTTAAAGACATCAGATTAAGTTTGCAAAACATGTTTTACAATTCCAAACAGTCGGAGGCTGAGGGGATTATTATTTGCAATGTCAAGGTGGAGGTAGCATAACTTGCAAAGGTTGGACTAACTAGTTAACTGGTGGGAGCCAGTTTGTGCTTTTCCTTACAAAAAACAACAACAAATATTGCAGTTTTGAAACTGCAGTAAAGGTTCAGTAACTTCAGTTGACTGTGGTATTTTGGATGCAGTAATTGCAGAATAACTGCAGTTGAACTGCAGTTTCACAGCAAAATTACTCCAGTAAAAAAGGTGTTATTTTAGACGCGTTATTGGCAGCATAACGTTACTGGGTTTGAAGCATATATAGCTATTTTATAGCCTATAATGTAACAGATATAGCCCTTATAAGCTGCTTTGTTTGGCCTTCCATGTAAGATGCGATCTACAAAGGGGAAATAGTAACGTTAACAAATTAGCTGGGACGGCTAAGAACAAGTAGCTAGCTAGTTCTGGGGTGTATTCATTCCGCCGATTCTGTTGCAAAACGCGTCTTAAACGGGAGCAAACGAAACTGGGAGGGACCTTCCGGAATGTGTCATTTAATAGAAACTCTGTTTGGACTAATGATTACACCCCTGGTTTCATTGTTTTAGTCATGTGGTGTCCACTGAGCATCAAACAAATACTTTTTCAATAGAGATGCGTAAAAATAACTAATTATTTAGAGCAAAAAAGGTGAATACCACACTGCAACAACGTTTTATTTAACCAGAACATGGTCAAAATAGGTTTTGCTTCATTGGACCCCATTCATTTTCACTTGAATGTACTTGATCTGCTGCCATTGCAAGAGATGCTGCACATTTTACTCACTATACTTGGATTCATAGGGAGTGGAAGGACTGTAAAAAGGCTGTGCTAGGATTAGGAATGACCAAGTATACCACATTTCCTTAGAAATGACCCTGTCGCCCAACTAACATTATTTTAGTTAGTTTGGCGTGAGATGGATGTGGAACTTAAGCTAGAGGTGGATGAGAGGGATATGCCTATATCCCCAGCTGTTATTAATGCTGATCTTTTTGATACACAAGCAGGTTATAGATATTATATAAATCCTCATGAAACAACACCACAGCAGTTATGTGGTATTTTGTCAAAAGATAGCGTAGCGAGAGATGTGGAGATTAAAGCAGAATCAATAGGTCTTAATACTATTGGTGCTCAGGACAGGGAGATTACAGATAATGTACTGATACCGAGTATCAACTCCTTGTCACAGGCCGTGGGTGTAAAGCGAGTCATTCTGATACATGTTATTGTCCATACAGAGCAAGATAACCCCAGCACCTCTGTCAAAGACAAGGCATGTTTTGAAATACCACACAGTGATACTCAAATTGGAAAAGTATTTAGGCTTACACTGTCTCAATCACCACTGTCAGCTGCAGAAAGTGCTTCTTCTGGAGGTCAAATCGAACCGACTGAACAGGCTAAAAAAACGAAGTGGCAGTTTTACAGATGTACCACAGAGTGCTGTTGAAACAGCAACACTTGGGCTCAAGAATGGACCTACTGACATCTGCATAAAGGACGAACGTAATGTGGAATTCATATCAACTCAGCATGTAAAGATGGAGACCATCTCTATTGACACAGATGTATCACTGTCTGATGAGGAAGCAGGACACAGACCTAGAAGGGACCGATCTTTTATGACATCTACCACAGAAGATGAAACCATGGAACTCTACCCCCTCTGTAAGGAAATAGGCTTAGATCTTGAAATCAAAACCTGGGGTAAAATAAAAACTTGACTTGCTTCTATTGACTAGAGATGTAATGCTTGAAGTGCCAAATTTTGCCACAGAAGTGTGTGAAACCTACAGGCAGATAGTCCTTGCTGTTCTCGAGTACAATTTTGATCTTGATTTGCAAAATGATATAGATCTCCTTGAAAATATAAATAATAATGTAAAATTAGTCGAAAAGAAAATGACAGGCTGGTTAAATCGAAGGTGGAGATTAAAAGATGAATATGAATTGCTAATGGAAAAATTCTTAATGGCGCCTTCCAAGAAATGGACACGTTTTGGGATTTCAAATTGGAAATGACAAAGAATGCCACTGGATTACAGCAAGAAAAAGAAAGATAGAGGCGTTTTAATAGCAAGGAAGATGCAGGCAGACATCTTTGAAGTTCCTCAGAGTATAAAGACAGAGAGCATCTTTACTGAGACTGATGCAACCCAGTTTGTTGATGAGACAGCATAAAGGAAGAGCCTGATCATCACTCTGGGGTCATGGAAAAAGCCTCAGACTCTGAGAACAACCAAGTAAACATGTGCTGGAAATATATCCATAACATCTTTATGTGTAAAAAGGTACAGTGAAGGAGATTTTTTCCTAATCAGAAAACTGTTTTAATGTACAGATTGGTTCTGATAATAATTTCAAACCAATCCTTGCTAAATACAGATCAGATGTCCTACCACTCATAGTTGAGGAATATGATGTCTTTAGCCACGCTGAGAAGACAATGATGTCCCTTGTGAATCAGCTCCTTTGTGGTTTACATTTGATTGACGGCTTGGCTCACCAGGCAAGCACAACTCTTCTTCTCTGGGAAAATATTATTTTTGGAGAAAATAAAGTAGGAGTCCACAGCTCTCCTGACATTGGACCAACAGAGTTGGAGTCTGGAACAGTGCGATTGGGGAATACTGTGAATCATGCTGTCCAAGAACAGCGATGGGGAATGGACGGTTATCTTGTTCCGTTCACAACCTTTCTGGCCAGCAAAGGAGCATTTTATGAAGTGCCCTTATCTCCATCCAGTGGAAACAGAATTGACGGTCTGTTTCATAATGCTGCTGGGGTGTATAGCATCCATGATGATATAATTGTACCAGGGACTATGAAGATGAGAGTAGTATGCTTGCAGCAGTTGCTGCTGGTTTGGAGGTTCAGCCATTTAAAGCAGGATGCAGAGCTCTGGGTCTGATTTCTAAGATAATCATTGATCCTCTCTGGAGAGCCTTGACTTTGAAGGAAGATGTGTTGGACATGGAAGTAAGATACCAAACCCTTGTTACCAAGCTCAAGCAATGGCATGAAGATGGAAGAGACCTTGTTGAAGGAAATGTACGCTTGTTTGATGACATTGAGGTACCCAAGGACCTTGTGTTTGACAGGCTTACCATGTGGACAGACCCAGACTTTTTTCAATTGACCGTTCAGATTGTTGAGTTACTCCTAGCTAGTTTTCTGAGGGTATGTTGTAAGATGCTGCTGATCGACCTACAGCAAGTGTCAAAGATAAATGATCGATGCAGAAAGGATTTTGAAATCATAGAACAATTGCAAAAGGCAAAAGCCAATTCAATAAGTATTGCTGTTGAAGCCATGGGCATGTGCAAGACGAATCACACTTGGGAATGGCTGTCCTTTTTGGATGCACCAAAAATAGTGTCAGTGTTGAAAGCTCTCCAGATAGTGTAGAAAAAGGAAGAAGGAAAGCCATTGAGGATTCATATAATTGTAGGCCAAATATTGACATGAACAATGAGTTGGAACAGAGGGTCTTTTGATGAATAGTGGCCTAAGCTAGAGAGAGATTAAAAATGTCCGAAAAAATGTCAGTGGAGACCGTAAGTACGTAGCCCTTTTTGTCCTCAGGGGCTCTCCTCAGCAGCTCAGAGTCGTCGTTGAGCTCGAAACATGAGAAAAATGTTTTTAGCTCGTCCGGTAGGGCGGCGTTGGTGTCCGCAGCGTGGCTGGCTTTCTTTTTGTAATCCGGGATCGTTATGAGCCCCTGCCACATACGCCTCGTGTCCGACACTTTGTCCCTTTACTTGTGTTTCGCCATCTTGATTGATCTGAAGAGTATTACAAGTTCCAAAGCGTTCCAACAATGTTGACATGTACAAGTTTTTGCCTTCTTTATATTAGTATGCTACCTCAGTTTATCTTAGTCATGCCGTTCCTTTAACTATTCCTTAGTCTGTATAGTCTTTGCGGATTCCCTTGGCCTCCGGTTCACTTGCCTGGTCCTGATTTTGAAACCTGAAGACTGAAAACGGCAAAAGAACAAAGTCATTTAAAAGGGGACCAGTTATTGTTTTATTTTATTATAGATCATTTTTTTCCACTTTTAAATATATATATATATATATATATATTAAAAAATTGTCAGCCTTTTTTGGGACAGGCTGTTTTATCTTTTCATTTTTTTGTTGGGGAGGGGATCAATAAGTTTCATCAAGACTATATTCATCAGTATTTGACCTAAGGAAGTACACTGCTTAATCCATGATTTGAAAGTAAAAAAGAAGATATTCTTGAAAAGGTTGTGCCATTGGCATTCCAGTGTTCCTTGGACACAGGCAACAGGATGAGTTTCACTGGATCCAAATGTATGAAGGTAATGCAGTGTGTGCATGACCCATCTGTGTACTGTTAGTTATTGTAGCTAATAATGGTAATCAAATTCATTTCTATTGATACAGTAATCATTTTTTTGAATTTCTTCATGTCCTATTCAGACTGAAGTTCGAATAACATCAACTTCAACTTGTAATTAATGTAGGCTAATGTTAATTGCTTGTTCTGATGATGTCATACTTATTAATTTTCTCTACTTTAATATTAGGTTTTGGTTGGAGATCTGATAACATTCAGTATCCAAAATATGCAAAAATAGAGAAAATCAAAAAGGGGGTAAATACTTTTTCACGGCACTGTACATGTGTTTTCACAGGTGATGCTAATGTCTTTCCAGCAGCAGTGTCCCTAAATCTGCATGGTGTTATTGTCTCTTCTCTATGTTGGACTGAACTGTTTCAACTCTTCACAAGTGAAAACCTCAAAGCCCTAAAGGTTTGTTGTTGTCAATCTTTTTAGTCACAGATTAGTCAAATAATTGATGAAATACTTGTTTTGACCTTTTCATCCCTGCTTATATTACTGTAATTCCTCATCTAGTGGTGGAGAAAGACGCCATCTACAGTATGTCAGGAGCAGAGGGGTGTCCACTTGAGAAGGAGTCTTCTCAGTCAAGATATAATAATAATAATAATATAATATGCCATTTAGCAGACGCTTTTATCCAAAGCGACTTACAGTCATGCGTGCATACATTTTTGTGTAAGATAAGGTGAGCTCATCATTTTGTAACAGAATATATTTCATACACCCTTTGGGTGGACATCATGACATGAGCAGAGAGTCATATAACCAGGTAGATTAACCTCAAGCACATACTGTAAAAATCTCTAACTTCTGTGTTAACATTGAACAGACAATAGATTGTAGGTTATTGAAAAGTATAACTAATTATTCCAGTTTTTGTAGGAACAGTTTGTTTCAATTCAGTTTCAAGTGTTAATGTCACATGCACAAGTACAGTGAAATTCCTTTCTTGCAAGCTCTAACCCCAACAATGCAGTAATCAATAACAATGTAATTATACAAATAACAAGGTAGAAGAAAAACAAGATATGAAAATAAGAAGAACATGATAAAGTAAGTAAGCATACTATATACAGGGTCAGTTCCAGTACCATATTTACAATGTGCAGGGATACTGGATCAGTAGAGGTAGATATGTATAGGGGTAAGGTGCTATCAGGATATATGATAAACAGAGTAGCAGCAGCGTATATGATGATTGTATGTGAGTGGGTGTGTTTAGAGTTCAGTGGAGGCTGCTGAGGGGAGGACGGCTCATAATAATGGCTGGAGCGGAGTGGTATCAACCACATGGAAACCACGTCTTTGATGTGTTTGATGCCATTCCATTGACTCCATTCGAGCCACTTAGTTATCACCTTTGCCTTATGGCAAGGTGCTCCATCATGCTGGAAAAGGCATTGGTTGTCACCAAACTGTTCTTGGATGGTTGGGAGAAGTTGCTCTCGGAGGATGGTACTATCCTTTATTCATGGCTGTGTTCTTAGGCAAAATTGTGAGTGAGCCCACTCCCTTGGCTGAGAAGCAACCCCACACATGAATGGTCTCAGGATGCTTTACTGTTGGCATGACATAGGACTGATGGTAGCGCTCACCTTGTCTTCTCTGGACAAGGTGTTTTCCGGAAGACCCAAACAATCGGAAAGGGGATTCATCAGAGAAAATGACTTTACCCCAGTCCTCAGCAGTCCAATCCCTGTACCTTTTGCAGAATATCAGTCTGTCCTTGATGTTTTTCCTGGAGAGAAGTGTCTTCTTTGCTGCCCTTCTTGACACCAGGCCATCCTCCAAAAGTATTCGCCTCACTGCACATGCAGATGCAGATGCACTCAGACCTGCCTGCTGCCATTCCTGAGCAAGCTCTGCACTGGTGGTTCCCCGATCCCACAGCTGAATCAACTTTAGGAGACGGTCCTGGTGCTTGCTGGACTTTCTTGGGCGCCCTGACGCCTTCTTCACAACAATTGAACCTCTCTCCTTGAAGTTCTTGATGATCCGATAAATTTTTGATTTAGGTGTAATCTTACTAGCAGCAATATCCTTGCCTGTGAAGCCCTTTTTGTGCAAAGCAATGATGGCACGTGTTTCCTTGCAGGTAACCATGGTTAACAGAGGAAGAACAATGATTTCAAGCACCACCCTCCTTTTAAAGCTTCCAGTCTGTTATTCTAACTCAATCAGCATGACAGAGTGATCTCCAGCCTTGTCCTCGTCAACACTCTCACCTGTGTTAACGAGAGAATCACTGACATGATGGCAGCTGGTCCTTTTGTGGCAGGGCTGAAATGCAGTGGAAATGTTTTTGGGGGATTAAGTTCATTTTCATGGCAAAGAGGGACTTTGCAATTAATTGCAATTCATCTGATCACTCTTCATGACATTCTGGAGTATATGCAAATTGCCATAATCAAAACTGAGGCAGCAGACTTTGTGAAAATTAGTATTTGTGTCATTCTCAAAACTTTTGACCACGACTGTATATATTATGTGTGTGTGAGAAAATGTGTGAGTCTTTGTATGTGTGTTGGAGTATCCGTGTGTGTAGGGCAATGTGGGTGTGCATAGAAATTGCTAAAATAACAATAACATACAAAGGTGAACTCCGATAGTCCGTGTAGCCATTTTGTTAGCTATTTAGTTAGTTATTTAGCAGTCTTATGGCATGGGATTGAAGCTGTTCAGGAGCCTGTTGGGGTCATACTTGGTGCACCTGTACCGCTTGCCGTGCGGAAGCAGAGAGACAACAGTCTATGGCTTGGGTGGTTGTAATCTTCAACAATTGTCCAGGCCTTCTTTCCACACCGCCGGATAGAGGTCCTGGATGGCACTGTGAACGCTCAACAACTTGATGATCAACTCTTTAGTTTTGCTACTTATTTCATTAACATATTTCCTGCTTGTCATACTAGAGGGAGATACTGGTTGTCTTTCAACTCCACACCATGGGATGATTGACCTGGATCTTAACCAGAACAGACTTCACCAGACACAGTAGAAGTGAGGTCACAGGAGACAGACTGATTTGTGAAGAGGGACTGCATCACCCATAAAGCATTGTGTCCCTGGAGGCCACAGCTTTGTTGGATGTAAATGCCTTGTTCTCAACCTCTCGGAGTGTTCGGAAATACGACTTGTAAACTCTGTGCGACGAGTTGCATGCATTCACGTACTTTGAACTTGTTGCTAATGCCAACGACTAAGTACCGAGGTCAACCATAAACGAACAGTACAGCTATCATGCTGGCATTAAAAAGCAGTTGAAAATAGCTTTTCTAGATCAGTCTGACTGTTCTTCCTGACTGTTATAATCAACCAGCTTGAATGCAAAAATTTGATGGGACTACTTGTTTCCTGTTGCAACACTTGAACCACGTTAATATTTTTGGTTATAATCTGCACAACTTTTGAACTCTTGGTTATGTTTGCTTTAAAAAAAAATGTTTTAATACTAACTGTTCTGTTTGTTTACATTAAACTACTAGTTTTTGTTGTTTCCATCAAGACTCTGTCATTGTAATTGGCAACAGTGTGTTGTTTTGGGGTGGTTAGTGTGTTTCTGGGTGGTCAGTGTGTTGTTTTTGGGTGGTCAGTGTGTTGTTTTTGGGTGGTCAGTGTGTTGTTTTGGGGTGGTCAGTGTGTTGTTTTTGGGTGGTCAGTGTGTTGTTTTGGGGTGGTTAGTGTGTTTTTGGGTGGTCAGTGTGTTGTTTTTGGGTGGTTAGTGTGTTTTTTTTGGGTGGTCAGTGTGTTGGCAGGTAGCTTAGTGGTTAAGAGCGTTGTACCAGTAACCGAAAGGTCGCTGGTTCTAATCCCCAAGCCGACTAGGTGAAAAATCTGTCGATGTGCCCTTGAGCAAGGCACTTAACCCTAATTGCTCCTGTAAGTCGCTCTGGATAAGAGCGTCTGCTAAATGACCTATTTATTTATTATTTATTTGTTTTGGGGTGGTTAGTGTGTTTTTGGGTGGTTCGTGTGTTGTTTTGGGGTGGTTCGTGTGTTTTTGGGTGGTTCGTGTGTTGTTCTGGGGTGGTTAGTGTGTTTTTGGGTGGTTAGTGTGTTGTTTTGGGGTGGTTAGTGTGTTTTTGGGTGGTTGTGTGTTTTGGGTGGTAGGTTGTTTTTTGGGTGGTTAGTGTGTTTTTGGGTGGTCAGTGTGTTGTTTTTTTGGGTGGTTAGTGTGTTGTTTTTGGGTGGTCAGTGTGTTGTTTTGGGGTGGTTAGTGTGTTTTTGGGTGGTTCGTGTGTTGTTCTGGGGTGGTTAGTGTGTTTTGGGGTGGTTAGTGTGTTTTGGGTGGTTAGTGTGTTTTTGGGTGGTTAGTGTGTTTTTGGGTGGTCAGTGTGTTTTTGGGTGGTTAGTGTGTTGTTTTGGGGTGGTTAGTGTGTTTTTGGGTGGTTAGTGTGTTGTTTTGGGGTGGTTAGTGTGTTTTTGGGTGGTTAGTGTGATAGTAGACGGGTGTATTATTTTATTTTTTTGGGTGTAGATCAGCACAAATATTGCAGATAGATTGTGGGTTCTATCAGTGTAATTGTCTGCATCATTTCCAATTTCCAATCTTTTAAAAATATATTTTCCTTCTAGATGGGTGATTTTAACTCATGTCTCTAAACATAAACCACACCATATTTCTTAGGTAGTCCATGAAAAGAGATTGACTTTGAAGTGAAATGGCAACTTGATATAGCCCCTTGCTGCAAACTGCCTTCGACATTCCTATGGTCCCCCTGCCTGTGTGGGATCGAATCCCGGCCCCTGTATCTCCCCTTTTATTGATGTTGGTCACACTGTCACAATAAACAATCAAACATTAATTTTTAAAAATCTGATTAGATCAAATCTGATTTAATAACCCAATCTCTCAAATGTGCTGTATATTTTACAGAGTTTGATGTCTTATGTTAGCTCAGGGGTATTCAACTGGGGGTCCACCGCCCATGGACAGCAGGGTCAGTGAAAGTATTTTTTTCATTTCAAAGTTTGAATATTGCTAGCAACAACCAAATAAATAATTTTGAATTACATATATACAGTAGAAAATAGGAGAATATATTTCTAATGAATTTATTTCTCAACTCCTAATATTCAGCCAATTACACTCATTGGGGTACATAGGCTTTGAAAAAGCACCCGCGAATAGGCTACCAGTGCGGCAAGGTCCGCTGGCTGCTGATAAGCTTTCTTGACTTGGATACACATTTTTGCCAACACATGACTAACTTTTGTCTATGCCATGTTCATGTGCTAGTCGGAACTAGGAAACTCTGACATTTCTGACTTGCTAACTGGTTGTAGTTATACACGTGCCGCGTTCAATGAGAAGGGTTTAATTGCAGACCAAAATTAGGGGGCGTATTCTGAAATCGGGCGTTTCTTGATATCAAGTTACACCCATTGATGCTCGCCATTGGTCCGTGGCCATTTATTTCGCGTCGGGGACAACAGCCTAACCCTAACCCTTTTCCTAACCTTAACCTCAGTCTCCTAACCTGCCACACTAATTCACCTAACTTCTAATTCACTTAACCTGCCATGCTTATTCACCTAACCTGCCACGTTAATTATCCTAACCTGCCACGTTAATTATCCTAACCTGCCACGTTAGTTATCCTAACCTGCTATGTAAACAAATAATCTGTGTCGAGAAACCATCAGGCTCATAACACCGGAACTGACCAATGGCAGGTATCAATGGGCGTTTCCTGATATCAGGGAACAGCCACATCATGAAATGCCCCGAATTGCGGTCTGCAATTACACCATATACCGTTCAACCAGTTAGCAAGTCGATACATTTCCACGTTTCCTAGTTGGGACTAGCACGTGAACGCGGCATGAACCAGCTAAACAGCTGCTCTTAGCAAAACTGTGTTTGGAGGTACCGTTCTAGCTAATAGGCTATGTTACACTTCCTCTTCCAATGTATAATGTGGGGAGGTCAAAATAATGAAAACTATCTACCAAATCTATTCATTTTAAAATGTTGATTACTTCTCCTTGCCATTATAATTTACCTGATAAGACAAGACATTATCATTTTAAATTTTTTGCAAATGTATGATAGGGGTCCCTGGGTAGCTTGTTTGCCTGGGGGTAGCTGGTTTGCCTGGGAGGGGGTACCTGGGTAAGAAAAGTTTGCTTCACTGCGCCCTGGCATAGATTCTACAAGTGTCTGGAACTCTTGTAGGGCGTTAGATGGCGACATTACGCTATTTGACTCCAAAACTACAAAGAAGAAGAAAGTGTCCAATCAGGAGGGAGAATGACTGTCACAACAAAGATGGACGCTTCCCGATCTGGTCACAAATAATGAGGCACGTTATTTTTTTATTCTGTTGGCTAAAGACTGATGGCTAGTCTGGATAGTTTCTCGCCTTGAAAACAGACGAAGTTTGCAAAAAATGTTGTCCAATTCCAAACAGTCGGAGGCTGAGGTGACTTGCAACGTCAAGGTTGTGCTAGCTAGCTAACTTGTGGGAGCCCGTTACGTTACGTTAGTGCTTTTGCAGCATAAATAGCTATCTAATTCATAGGCTATAATGTAGGCTGTATGTAGTCAACAGACCTTCAATGTATAAGTGCGATCTACAAATTTGGAATGGTAACGTTAGCATATTAGCTAGGACCAAAGAACAAGTCGCTAGCTGCCTACCTTAATGGTTTTGGTTTCATTGTTTTAGTCATTGTGGTGTCAGTGAAGTGTCGACCGTTGCAGTAACAAATACTTTTCCAATAGTTTTGCGCAAAAATAACGTCTTTTTATGCCAACCAGGACTTATTTCGAGAAAAACATGTGAATACCACACTGCAACAACGTTTTATTTAACATGATCAAAATAGGTTTTGCTCTATCGGACCCCCCATTCATTTGGAATTGAATTTACTTTTTAGATCTGCGACCTCTGCTGCCACTAAAACTCACTTGAATGGTATTGATAGAGAGTGGAACGAGGATTAGGAATGACCAAGTCTACTCCATTTCTTTAGAAATGACCCTGTCACCCAACTAAAGTTATTTAGCCAGGTTTGGAGTGAGATGGATGTGGAACTAAAGCTTGAGGCAGATGAGAGGGATATGCCTATATCCCCAGCTGTTATTAAGGCTGATCTTTTTGATACACAAGCAGGTTATGAATATGATATAGATCCTCATGAAACAACATCACAGCAGATATGTGGTATTTTGTCAAAAGATAGCGTAGCGAGAGATGTGGAGATTAAAGCAGAATCAATAGGTCTTACTACTATTGGTGCTCAGGACAGGGAGATTACAGATAATGTACTGGTACCGAGTATCAACTCCTTGTCACAGGCCGTGGGTGTAAAGAGAGTCATTCTGAATACAACCGTTGAAGGTAGAAATGTTATTGTCCGTACAGAGCAAGATAACCCCAGCACCTCTGTCAAAGACAAGTCATGTTTTGAAATTCCACCAAGTGATACTCAAATTGGAAAAGTATTTAGGGCTACACTGTCTCAATCACCACTGTCAGTTGCAGAATGTGCTTCTTCTGGAGGTCAAATCAAACCAACTGAACAGGCAAAAAAAACGAAGTGGCAGTTTTTTGTAAATGCCTCAAAAAAAATAAATTTGGAGCACTGCAGTAAAGTAGGTGTTGATTTCGATGTCGGATCTGGAGGAAAACAGAAACTTGACTTAAAGCTACTCACTAATGGTGTAATGATTGAGATTTCAGATTTAGCCAAATACTTTAGGACCTCTCAGCATGTCATCTGTGATATTCTAGAATACAACTTTGATCTTTGTCTTCAAAGTGATCAACGTAGTGAATTCGCAATTAGGACTAACCAAAAAGTAAAGTACTTGATGACATTGACGAAGTCCAAACTACAAAAACCTGGATTGTTAACTCAGGTCTTTGAACTTCCTATGACAATGACCGTATCAAAAACACACCACTCATGTGTAAAGCACTCAAATGACATTGTGTCAGCTAACCAAAGATTGAAAAAAGATTTTGAAATACAGCAGTTGGTTATAAAGGAGGAGGAGGAGGAATGTGTCCCTATATCGTCCTTTGAGGAAGATGGGTTGGTTGAGTATGAAAAGGCCCATGATGACAACAATGTCTCTCTAATCAACTTTGACCTTGATGCCAGCCAGGCATCTCCTCATCATGTCAAAAAGACCATGTCTAATGAAACAGATGTACCACAGAGTGCTGTTGAAACAGCAACACTTGGCCTCAAGAATGGACCTACTGACATCTGCATGAAGGACGAACCTAATGAGGACCTCATAACTACTCAGGATGTTAAGATGGAGACCATCTCTATTGATACAGATGTATCACTGTCTGATGAGGAAGCAGGACACAGACCTAGAAAGATCCAATATGTTATGACATCTACAACAGAAGATAAAATGAAGGACCTCTACCCCCTCTGTAAGGAAATAAGTTTAGATCTTGATGTGAAATCAAAAGGTGAGGCAAAAGAAAAACTTGACTTCCGTTTATTGACTAGAGGTGTAATGCTTGAAGTGGCAAAGTTTGCGGCCGAAGTGTGTGGAACCTACGGGCAGATTGTACATGCTGTTCTCGAGTACAATTTTGATCTTGATTTCCCAAAAAACATAGATCTCCTTGAAAACATAATTCACAACGTAAGATCAGTCAAAAAGAAAATGAAAAGTCGAAGGTGGAGATTGAAAGGCAGAAAAGGAGAATGTGAATTGCTAAAAGAAAGATTCTCAATGGCGCCTCATTGGAAACGTTCTGGGATTTCAAATGTAACAAAAGAAAGGCCACTGGATTACAAGAGGGAAAAGAAAATAAGAGAAACTTTAATAGCAAGGAAGATGCAGGCAGACACATGGGAAAGAGCCAGACAAGTTCCTCAGAGTATAAAGACAGAGAGCGTCTTTACTGAGACATCTCGGTTTGCTGATGAGACAGCAATACTCGGCCATGAGAATAGATCTGCTGACATCTTCATAAAGGAAGAGTCTGATCGTCAGTCTGGGGTCATAGAACAAGCCTCGGACTCTGAGAACAACCAAGTAAACGTTTGCTGGACATATATCCATAAAATCTTAACATGTAAAAAGGTACATGGAAGGAGATGCATTTTTTCCAAATTAGAAAACTGTTTTAATGTTCAGATTGGTTCTGATAATAATTTCAAACCAATCCTTGCTAGATACAGATCAGATGTCCTACCACTCATAGTTGAGGAATATGATAGCTTTAGCCACGCTGAGAAGACAATGATGTCCCTTGTGAATCAGCTCCTTTGTGGTTTACATTTGATTGATGGCTTGGCTCACCAGGCAAACACAACTCTTCTTCTCTGGGAAAATATTATTTTAGGAGAAAAGGAAGTAGGAGTCTACAGCTCTCCTGACATTGGACCAACAGAGTTGGAGTCTGGAACAATGCGATTGGGGAATACTGTGAGGGATGCTGTCCAAGAACAGCGATGGGGAATGGACGGTTATCTTGTTCCGTTCACAACCTTTCTGGCCAGCAAAGGAGAATTTGAAGAAGTGCCCTTATCTCCATCCAGTGGAAACAGAATTGACGGTCTGTTTCATAATGCTGCTGGGGTGTATAGCATCCATGATGATATAATTGCGTTCACCAGGGACTATGAAGATGAGAGTAGTATGCTTGCAGCAGTTGCTGCTGGTTTGGAGGTTCAACCATTTAAAGCAGGATGTAGAGCTCTGGGTCTGATTTTTAAGATAATCATTGATCCTCTCTGGAGAGCCTTGACTTTGAAGGAAAATGTGTTGGACATGGAAGTAAGATACCAAACCCTTGTTACCAAGCTCAAGCAATGGCAGGAAGATGCAAGAGACCTTGTTGAAGGAAATGTACGCTTGTTTGATGACATTGAGGTACCCAAGGACCTTGTGTTTGACAGGCTTACCATGTGGACAGACCCAGACTTTTTTCAATTGACCGTTCAGATTGTTGAGTTACTCCTAGCTAGTTTTCTGAGGGTATGTTGTAAGATGCTGCTGATCGACCTGCAGCAAGTGTCAAAGATAAATGATCGATGCAGAAAGGATTTGGAAATCATAGAACAATTGCAAAAGGCAAAAGCCAATTCAATAAGTATTGCTGTTGAAGCCATGGGCATGTGCAAGACGAATCACACTTGGGAATGGCTGTCCTTTTTGGATGCACCAAAAATAGTGTCAGTGTTGAAAGCTCTCCAGATAGTGTAGACAAAGGAAGAAGGAAAGCCATTGAGGATTCATATAATTGTAGGCCAAATATTGACATGAACAATGAGTTGGAACATAGGGTCTTTTGATGAACAGATATTCAGCAGCTCCAACTCCTGTGAAACAGTAGCTGTGTAAGCTAAAGTGTGCAGACATTTTAATGGTTGATATATTTTGGTTATACAATTGTCTTGACAGCCCATTCAAAAACAGGTGTCTGAACATGTTTTTGGTCTACCACCTTTTGCTTTTGTATTCAGAATGATGACTGAACGATTCAGCAAGGCAATATTTGAATGGTTATTGACCATTTAGGTTATCTGAACTAGGAAGAGTACAGTGGTATTACGCTAATGAATGTAGCTAAAATGTTTTTGTTGTGGAAGTAGGTGCTTGTGACACATAGTTACCCTGTAGTATAATGAAGAGTATCACTTGTGTTGAACTGTTGAAGTTTAGGCTATTTCCAAAGCGTTCCAACAACCTTGACATGTGTATGTTTTTGCCTTCTTTATAATAGTTTGCTACCTCACAGTTTATCTTAGTCATGCCGTTCCTTTAACTATTCCTTAGTCTGAATAGTCTTTGCTGATTCCCTTGGCCTCGCGTTCACTTGCCTGGTCCTGATTTTGAAACCTGAAGAATGAATTCGGCAAAATAAACTGGGGGTGGGTTCTACTAAGCTATATGGAATTGTTTTCCATATAGCAGAGCAAAACAACCTACATGTTCGTGAGTCTCTCATATTTCCATAGAGGGGTCATAATTCATAATAGTTGATATTGTGAGTAGACCGATTTTCGGGATGTCTCATGGTCTGACACACCGCTCTAGCGCTGTCACCTTTCACCGCAGATGCAGAAGTGCGACATGGGCAGATGCGGTGGATTGAGACGTATCCAATGCAAAAAAAAACAACATCTCTACCTTAAACAGACAGATTTGTATGGGATTTTTTTTACTATGCTAATGATATTTCCACTGGTGCACGGACATCGACCTTAGGGGAGCAGTTATTGTTTTATTTTATTATTGATTATTACTGGACTTTAAAAATAAATTGTCAGCATTTTTTGGGACAGGCTGTTTTATCTTTTCATTTTTTTGTTGGGGAGGGGATCAATAAGTTTCATCAAGACTATATTCATCAGTATTTAACCTAAGGAAGTACACTGCTTTAATCCATGATTTGAAAGTAAAAAAGAAGATATTCTTGAAAAGGTTGTGCCATTTGCATTCCAGTGTTCCTTGGACACAGGCAACAGGATGAGTTTCACTGGATCCAAATGTATGAAGGTAATGCAGTGTGTGCATGACCCATCTGTGTACTGTTAGTTATTGTAGCTAATAATGTTAATCAAATTCATTTAAATGTATACAGTAATTTAGGATGTAAATTGAATTTCTTCATGTCCTATTCAGAGTGAAGTTCCAATGACGTCAACTTCAACTTGTAATTAATGTACCGGTAGGCTAATTGTAATTGCTTGTTCTGATAACGTCATACACAGGTTTTCACAGGTGATGCTAATGTCTTTCCAGCAGCAGTGTCCCTAAAGCTGCATGGTGTTATTGTCCCTTCTCTATGTTGGACTGAACTGTTTCAACTCTTCACAAGTGAAAACCTCAAAGCCCTAAAGGTTTGATGTTGTCAATCTTCTTTTTAGACACAGATTAGTCAAATAATTGATTAAATACGTATTATTTCCCCCTTTTTATCCCTGCTTATTTAAGCAATAAGACATGAGGCCGTGTGTTATGACCTTTTTATCATGTCTGTGACGTGGTCATAGCAACGGGTTACCAGCATTAAAAAGCTAAATTCATTCCCAAACCATACATTTTTCTGAAAAACGTGATGCATCATTCACTAACTGGTTGTCAAGTGCAATTTTAGGCGTTCTCTGGTCGTTAGTTCTATTCATATTCAATGCCATGTAAAACAAAACTGCCAAAGCGCTGGTTGAAAGTTCCAGAACATTGGTTTCTAGGGACGCTGTCCATGATTCTGAAAACGGCGCAGGTCAATGCCAAATAATAGGCTACCTCTAATGTAATGTAGGTTCCTCATAGTAATGAAGTAACCTCTCAATATATCAGATCAGAATATAAACCACAAAGACAAAACATTTTGGGATGGTCACAGCATCGACAGCTATTCATTTATGATACACAATGAATCGCACATTTCCGTTCAGTGTGCAATTAGTGAAGTAGCTGTCGAACGCCGGTGTATCAAGCACAGCCACTAATGCCGGGGTATCAAGCACAGCCACAACGCCGGAGTCTCAAGCCCAGCCACTAACACCAGGGTCTCAAGTACAGCCACTGACACCGGGGTCTCAAGCACAGCCACTAACGCCAGGGTATCAAGCCCAGCCACTAACGCCAGGGTATCAAGCACAGCCTACCCTTAACACCTAACCGAGTCTCAAGCACAGCCACTAACGCCAGGTCCTCAGCACAGCCACTAACCGAGGTCTCAGCACAGCCACTAACGCCAGGTCTCAAGCACGCCACTAACCAGTTCTCAAGACACAGCCATACGCCGAGTCTCAAAGCCACTAACGCGTGAGTTCAAGCACAGCATAACGAGGTATCAAGTTACCCCACTAACCCGGGTATCAAGACACCACTAACGCCAGGGTATCAAGACAGCCTAGCCAGGGTATAGCACACCTACACTAGGTCTCATGACAGCCATACACCAGGGTCTACAGCACAGCCAAACTAAACTTCCAGGTCTCAGCACACCACTACAGTGGTTCAAGCACCCATAAACGGGTTCAAGCACATGCCACTAACCAGGGTTCAGCACATGCCATTTTAACGCCAGGTCTCAAGCACGCCATAACACCGGGGTCTCATCAAGCCAATAACGCCAGGTATCAAGAACAACTGCCACTACGCCGGTTCAAGAACAGCCACAAACCATTGGTATCAAGGGCCACTACACCTGGGTCTCAAGCACGCCATTAAACGGCTCAGTCACATCCCAACCCAGGCTCACCCCATAACGCCAGGGTCTCACAAGCCTAACGCCAAGTAACCCCACATAACACGCTCAAGATAAAACCACAAAGACAAAACCCTGGGATGTCACAGCACACACTAACACTGGTATAAGAACACAATGACAGGTCCAACAGCCTAACCCAGGTATCAGCACAGCCAACCCAGGTCTCAAGACAGCGCCAACGCCGGAGTCTCAAGCACAGCCACTAACGCCAGGGTCTCAAGCACAGCCACTAACGCCAGGGTCTCAAGCACAGCCACTAACACCAGGGTATCAAGCACAGCCACTAACACCAGGGTATCAAGCACAGCCACTAACACCAGGGTATCAAGCACAGCCACTAACGCCGGAGTCTCAAGCACAGCCACTAACGCCAGGGTCTCAAGTACAGCTAGGCGCCAGTTTCTCAGGAACAACTGCCTTGTTGTCGCACCAAGCTGTTAGGATGTTTTGTCGACGGGGTGGGCTGGACAAATATTTTTGCCCGCGCTGGCACTGCAGACAGCTATATCGGTCAGCTAATACAGGACAATTAAAAGGCCCAGTGCAAGGCCTCCTGAGTGGAGCAGCGGTCTAAGGCACTATGCAGTGCTTGAGGCGTCACTACAGCCCTGGGTTCGATCCCAGGCTGTGTCAAAGCCGGCCGTGACCGGGAGACCCATAAGGCGGCGCACAATTGGCCCAGCGTCGTCCGGGTTCGGGGAGGGTTTGGCCGACTAGGATTTCCTTGTCCCATCGCGCTCTAGCGGCTCCTTGTGGCGGGCTGGGCATCTGCAAGCTGACTTCGTCGTCAGTTGGATGGTGTTTCCTCCGACACATTGGTGCGACTGGATTCCGGGTTAAGCGAGCAGTGTGTCAAGAAGCAGTGCGGCTTGGCAGGGTCGTGTTTTGGAGGACGCTTGGCTCTCGACCTTCGCATTTCCCGAGTCTGTAGGGGAGTTGCAGCGATGGGACAAGACTAACTACCAATTGGATATTACGAAATTGGGGAGAAAAAGTGGTAAAAGTACAAACAAACAAAAAAAGGCCCAGTGCACCACTTTTGTGGGGGGAAAAATATTAAAATAAAATCTAATTTAAAAAATATATTTGGTTTAATTCTGATTTCCAGGGGGGTGCTTCAGCACCTCTACTTCCCGCGGCTATGGAACTCAGTATCTCTCACCAGGCATCAAGACCGCTCAGTGGAGGCTCATTTAAGTGGCGGTTTAGGCCGGCCCGCAGTCCAGCGACGCTGCTGATTCCATATCGGTCTCCTTTTGCAGTCCTCGCGGTGGCTTAGAAGCACCAGAGAATATTACCCCATCTCCGGTTTTGAAACAGTTGCCAGATCGATGTTTATCCCCTATTCTGACAGCCGTTCCAGAAAGCACTTCACTGTCCAGTTGGTTTGTCTTGATGTAGCTAGCTTCTTACTTTCTCCCGTTTTCTATGTCATCTATAGCAGCTCTACTGATTTCTGCATGTCTAACGTTAACGCTAGGCTCCGGTTCCTGGTCCAGTTGCTCTTCCTCTTGTTTAATTTCTTTCATATCCTCCTCCTCCTCTTCTTGTTGGCACCATTCTTCAAACAATAGTGGATAAAACAAATCAAAAGTCACTTTAAAATCATCCTTGATGAGTTACAGGTGCTAAGGCTAGTAGTAGTAGTAGTTGAGGGATGTATAAACCTACCTGTCTGCCACTACGACCTGTACAACAATGTATCATTTTACAAATGGTGATCTCTCCCGTGCCTGTAGGCTAGCTAGGCCAAGAATGAACAGGAAACTTGTAATTCACCATGGAAACCGTAAAAACTCAGAAGTCCATTAATTCATTAACTAGCGCAGTGCAGCCTATGTAGGCCTATTTGATATTTATTAGATCATTATTTATTGAAGTTGTTGTCTGTCATCATCATTGAATCTCTGCTAGCTCGCTACATGCCAATGATTTGTTTAGCATAGCAACGTCGAATGAATAGAATGAGAAAATAACTAAA